ATGTCTTAGTGTTATCATTCTCTGCACCTCTCCCAGGAGCAAGTAGTGATATTTCTCTACTTTGGTGAAGCCAGAAACCTCTCTTTAATTTTATACACAAAGGAGCAGTGGTTTGATTTTGTGTCATACAAAAAGGGAAGCTGGGTGGCAACACCTGTGTAATTATACTTCCTTGCCCCACCCATTTTCTTCCTGGATGACCAAGGTGTTTAGTATTATTAGTGACTACATTAGGCAAGGGATCAGCCCACATAAGGGCTTTTACCGATGAAGGGAGAGGAACTTAAGTCATAAACACTTCCACATTTGTCCCAGGTAATATTACCGTACAGATGATTACTGCTAACATGGCAAAAAAGACATTCTCAGGCGTCAGGCGTTTATATGTCTTCTTTACCATGTGCCAGGAAAGTTAACTGCTTTCCTTTGCCAGTAACAATACATGCCTATAAACCTTCTAAAATATTTATATTTATTAATATTTACTTGATAAGGCTTTCCATGCAATTTCAAGTTTATTAAATCTGTTTTAAATCATTTAAGAAGAGAATAAATTTCTTGTATTTCTCCGGGCCCTTGGAGCTTTCCAAGAATCATCTCTGTTAAGGCCTTGAAATTTTAACATGGAAAAAACTATCAAACAAATATCTATATCCATATGTGATTTAAATATTATAATACCTTTTATTATTATCTTAAGACATCAATTAAATTTAGACTAGTTTTTGCATAGAAAATATTTGGTTGAGATCACAGAATTAATCCTCTTTTTTAATTAGACCAATAATAAGCAACTTATTTTGAATTCCTAATTATTAGAGAAAACACACTTTTTATTTCCTCAAAAACAAGTTATACTTTAGGTATTTTAATTACCACAACTATATAATTTCTTCCAATTTAATTTGCACTTTGAACTTTTAAAGCTGGCAAATCAAATATATATTGCATGTCCTAGATTAATGACACTCTACATTTCTAAGAAAAATACAAGACATAATCAATTAAGAGCTTCAATTCTGTCCTCTAGATTTTTTTTTGAGGCAAATTTAAACTTTTACTTTTTATTTATATAATTAAGACAACTTCCAAAAAATTTTTTTTTGCCACAGGAGTTGGAGGAAGTTTATAGCCATTCAAATGCAAATTACCACATTCCTTAGCTCAGTGTTTTTCAACCTTTTTTGGGCAAAGGCACACTTGTTTCATGAAAAAAATCACGAGGCACACCACCATTAGAAAATGTTAAAAAATTTAACTCTGTGCCTATATTGACTATATATAAAGTAATTCTCTTGAATAGGAATCAAATAAACGCAAAGAAAGTATTTTATAATTACTTTATTATGAAATATTAAGTAAACAAAATAGTGAAAAATTATAAAATTCTTGTCTTGTCTGCACCTACGGCACACCAGGCAACATCTCGTGGCACACTAGTGTGCCTCGGAACAGCGGTTGAAAAACGCTGCCTTAGCTTACTGGGAGAGTGGTCTTCCTTATAGGATTGCCTGGTCTCTCCCTTCCCCCACATCAAGATTACTTTGGGAGAAGTTTCAATAGATCTGGCCACACATTTTTTCATGCTTAAAAGATAAAGACAGGTCTTAAATTTTTTCTTTCTTTTTTGCTTTCTGAAGTAATAACTAGCACCCAATTTGGCCAAGATCAACATTTCCCTGCGAATTCTTTTATAATTTTTAAAGAAAACTTTAAGTAATCTCATTGCAGGAGAGCAGATAGCTTTGCCCTTTCTTGCCACCTTTGAATTTCTCCGCACCAGAGGCAGTTTCAGCAGTGGAGTCTCATTTCTTATTACAGATTTTAAATTCCAAATACAAACTAAGATTTTAATTTGAACAAGAAACCACATTCTTTAAGTTTACAAACCAAAAATCTATAATAAAGTTTCCTTTATATTTATAACCTATTTCTTCCCCATTAGCCTGGCTGAAAAAAGACGTTCCCACCCTACTTACAGTTCGCGACTCTGCAGCTGGCTTTGAGTGCGGTGAATATCCCTCACCTTTTTTCTGGTGAATCTTCCACACCTTTTCTTGGTGAAATTTTTTCCTTCCTTCACTCTTAGGCGAAAAATACCTTCTCCTCCAGAAGCCCCACGTTGGGCGCCAGATATAGGAATCTCTTTCACGGCCCGCGTAGAAAGAGTTCCAATTCAGGGTTCAAGTTCTGGAGAAGGCCGCACACAAATGAAAAGAGACTTGAAGAAATTCAATTTGGCGATATGGGGGGCCAGGCTGTAGACCAACTCTAGTGGGAGAACTACTCCTGCTCTGGCCCTGCCATCCCCTTTTATTGAGGCTTTGGGGAAAACATCTTAAGCAACATAAACAGAAATTTACATGTAGCCCCTGGGCAGGAAATAACAGAAACTTGTAGATTCTGCTTCAGCTAACAAAATCTCAACTAAAGGTTAGAGCAATTAAGGTTTTTGATCAGCCTTCCTGGCTTCCTGTCAATATCTCTTTTTCAGTGAAACTGATTTGGTTTCCAGCAATAGGGGATGTATTCCAAAGGCTCCAAAAAGCTAGAAATCTACCAACCAAAGACTACTGCCCATGCATTGATATAGTAGTATCTAGACTATCTGAAATGCATAGGTTTTATTTCTTTTTAATAGTTTAAATATCAACTATAAGTGCAATTGCTGAATACTTATATAATAGGTACTCAACACTTTGAGTCATCTAATTTGATTTTTAATGAAAATAGCATTTTAATATAGGTAATATTGTTACTATCCATTTTATTGCTTCGTAAGCAATCTGAGGCTTAAGAAGACTAAGTAACTTGTTCATGGAAATATAGTTAAGTATTAGTGAAAGTGAGATTTTATGCTGAGTCTTAACCACCATGCTATGCCTGTTATATATCAAATATACAACTTTAAATCCTGATTTCACATTTAACATTTTGGAATAAGCCTTTAAAAATAGGAACTTTTAGCTCTTCTTTTTTAATGCTGACATAATATTTCACTAAATTGTTATAACAATATTTTCAAAACTTTATTATATTATATTTAATCTTTATATTTTTGCCATTTTAAGTAATTTATTGTACTAATTCTTTATGTATAGAACTTCAAAAAATATATTTAACATTACTTCCCTAGAATAGAATCTCAGAATTGGCATAGTAATCTTAGATCAAAGGGTATGAAGACATTTTTTGAGAAAACTACCATACTGTAGTTTACTTTAGTAATGAAAAAATAAGCTCATTAATTCATTGATATATTTAACACATTTATTGCATTCCTCCTACATCCTGGGCATGGTACCCATGATGCCATTATTAATATTTGAGTCACTTTCCTAAAGGTTATGGTTTAGAGGCTGTTAAACTAGGATGTGCCTGAAATGGGCACCTTGTGTAAATAATGTGTGGTGAGAATGCTTCCTAGATTTTCTGGGAAAGAGTAAGAATACTTTAGAGCTTTTAGGAGTTGTAAGAAAGTGACATGCAGAGCAATATCAAAATAGCATCAAACATGAACATTTTTTCTTCTTGGCCAATCTGTTAGATGAGATATTGTTGATCACTGTTTAATGGTTACTTCCTTAAGTACTAATGAAGTTGGACATTTTCCCCTATGTCCATTAATAAGTTTTCTCATTAATAAGTTGTGAAGTATGCTTTGATATTTTGGTAGTTATTATTTATATGGAGTAGATTTTTGGTGTATTGCATTTGTTATAAATAATTGTAATCTGCTTTGGTTGAAACATTTTTTAAAAACTCAGGTTGACTTATTTTTTTTTAATGTAGTCTAATCTGCCAGGCATGTTCTTTCTAAACTTTTTTTTTTTTTTTTTTTAGAAATTTTAAGCTTCAGAAGTACATTTGACCTCTCCAAGAAACATACACAAATAATCAGTTACAGTTTTCTTTATTTTTTGTGTTCTATTTTATTTGTATTTAATTCCATGTTACATCTGAGAATAAAAGGAGCATAACCCCAGGGAGCAGTACAGCTGCTCTTTGAGGCTGCCCATGCTCTCTCTCTCTCCAGGAGTGTACTTTCACTTTAATTAATCTTACCATCAACGTTGTGTGTGTGTCTCTGAATTACTTCCTGTGACACCTCAAAGAACCTTCTTCCTCTCTTGACACCCCATGATTCCTTCAGGCTGGGTGATTGTCTGGAAGAGCTCCTATGATTCAGAAAAGCTATTGTATTTATAGCCATGGTTGTAAATTACAGCTAAAGAAAACAGATTCAAATCAGCAAATAGAAACACACATAAAGTAAAAATCCAGCTGCGAACTCTTAGGTGTCCCTTCCCAGTGGACTTACATGGGGATGTACTTAATTCTCTCAGCAACCATACCTGTGAAGATGAGTGACGTGTGATCATTCAGGGAAGCTCAACTGAGCTTTGGTCTCTAGAGTTTTAGTGGGGGTCACTTGGAGTTTTATTAGGGATCAGTCACATAAGCTTGCAGAACTAGATGATTGACCTCAGCTATTCCGACTTCAGACTCCAGCTCCCCCAAGCAAAACACAGGTGCTCACCATAAATATATCTGGTCAAAGTGGAACAGCATAGGCCACAGCCTCAGGCATACAAAAACTCTACCATGCAGACTATTCCAGAGCTTATCTTCCGGGAGCGGATGGCAGGCCTTTCTTTGGAATGTGCAGAGTTTGCCTAACGTGGAACTGCTGAGGTGACCCTGGCCTTTCCAGTGGTTATGAGGAGTAAGTGAGTTAATCCATGTAATTTAGAATAGTGCTGGCTTATGGAAGCAAATAAGGGTCAGCTATAATTTCTTCCGGAGGTGTTCTGTGAACTGAATGAAGCGGGTTCATTTGGAATGCAAAGAATTAGCCCTGTTCCATGGATCTTATGCTGATGATGTAAGTCCTCAAGTTTGGAACAATGGGCATAACCAACATATGTTAGCTAGAAATTCTTTTGTAAGAAACTTCCCAGTGAAACACCGGCCCTAACGTTGTGTCCTGTCCTTCACAGAGCTCTGAAGTCAGCAAAGCAATATCGAAGAGCGGAGCTGTTTGAGGAATACAAGAGAGCAGGTAAAAGAGTGATTCTTAGTAATTGAAACATAATATTCATTTAGATGGAAGATTAACTCAATTTTATAGCCCCTATTATTTAAAAAATATTTTGCAAAAAATACCAGTTGGTTGTCCTAGAATATGTGTGACTGCATGTTATGGGTGGCTGACCATATTCTAAAGTTGGACTGATTTCCATGAATACATTAATCAATGTCAAAGGTTTTTGTTAGGCTAGGCCTAGACATAAATTAGACATAAATGTGTAGGAATTAACTAAGTAATTATTATTACTTATTATTAAATCAGCACATATTTATTAAATATGAGATATTTGGTGATTTTGTAGAACTGACCCATCTGATGGGTCTCGTCCTGTCCTGACCGCTGGCGCTTACAGTGGAGGTGACTTGAAATAAGCAGATATCAATGTGTGAGTAAAAACTGATTAATTTTGGGAGGAGAAATAGCAGAGTTCTATGGGAAAAACATATTGGGTGGCAAGGGAGGAGTCTACTGTGGACTGGCTACACACAGTATTTTTCTGGAAGATGACATTGATCTAAGAGTTGAAGTGTGAGGAAGAGAGTCCTAGGAAAATGAAACTGCATTGAATAAATAAAGTGATTGAAAAAAAGGGGGAACGTAATTGTAGCAAAGTCTCAGAGGTAGAGAAAGACATAGGAGGAAGCTGCGTGGAAAATAGGATAAATATGAATATGGGAACTGGCCTGAGCATAGGGCCTTAACGGCCATGATAAGGGACCAGCTCTGCCTGGCCACTTCCTGCCTTTGGCATTTCAGTGCAGTGTTATCTGGTCTTCTCTACTGGTCCCCAGAATATAGATGCTTTTAAATATATCACCCAACCCTAACTTCTTTCATCCTCTTCCAAAGAATAGTGTATATGTGTTATTATTCTGCAAAGAGGTTCTCAAATGTGTTCATTCCTCTGGACACTGGTTCCATGATGTGTTCTGCATAAAATGGTTTGGGGTCAAGAAAGTTTGAAAATCTCTGAATACTGTTACACTCTCAGGAGCTTTAAATGCACATGAACATATTATAGTTTCTGGGAAGTTCTAAAATAAATACATATATCATTTAGGTATACATATGTGTATGTGTCTGTGTGTGTATGAACCATAATTTTACTTGAGAGTTCACAAAGTTATTGCCAGGTTAACTAGGAAATATTTAAAAAGTTTCTTTCTTGGAACTATGTGTTTTAAGAGGTTCCTTATACTGTTGAGGCTGACCTGCTTTAAAGTAATTGACTTATTTTATGGCTCTGCACATTAAATTACAAGAATAATTTTCTAGAATCCAGATACGTAATTCAAGCCACAAAAAGTCCGTTTGCTTCAATGGTTTAGCTTTTCAGGCAGAAGATTTTTCATGACCTGAATTATATGGTGAATTGCTTCAAAGTCTGGTTATACTTTACATATGACAATAGAGCCTTAAGTACCAATAAGGAGCACTAGAGTAAGAGCTTACTAAGTAATTTTCAATATCAACATTAGTAATATTTGTTCTCTTAAACAAAGGAAAACCACACACACAAAAAATACTGTTTGCATCTCAGCAGCTCTGAATCATTCCTTTCCACTGAAAAGGCTGATTCTTCTTGATCTGTAAAATTTTCGTAAGTTAAAAATAGTTAAAGTGAGAAAAACGACTTGGGATAATGCCTATGTAGCACCTGGGAATGATTTGATTTTATATGAAATTTGGAGATTTTGTATTTGCAGCAATAAAGGCCCAGAATATAAGAGTTAACCTATACTTATTTCAGAAGAAAGGTGCTTAGCATCTGTGATGGAAAGGACATTGACTATTTAGAATCAATTCAGTTAACTATTATTCAAAAATAAGAAAAAAATCGTGAAAAATTCCTTAGGATTTAATAAATTAGAGAGAGGGGAAAAAAAAAAAAAAGCCTGTTTCATCCCCAGAAAGACAGGAGACAGCTGTCTCTTAATTACTACTCTTGCCATTAGCTTTCTATTAGAGATGTGTTTCAAATTTGGAATCTAATTAGAAATCTTAACTGAAAATAGATTAAAAAAGAAAAACAAAGTAAAAAGCAAAAAGACCAACATGGAACATAGAAATAAGGAGATAAATAGAAATGGTAATATTCCAGCCAAATTGAATAATCACCTATGTAAAAATGAGTTGGCCCTTAGGGCCAACTGGCATGAAATTGAACTTTCACTGTTTCCTCTTTCAGGAGGAATTTTCTCAACCAAATGTCAAGTCTTTTTAATCTCTATACATTGTAATTTTCAGGGGTCATATTTTGCTCTGTGTAAAAGCAGTGCTTTTAAAGTTTTGAGGACTGAGTTAAATTTCAGCCCTTTAACTTGTTCCCTATCTGTACAAATTTTCTAATTATTCTCAATATCAATAAACCCATCTCTAAAATAGAATTTCTAAATCCCATTTTGCAATGTGGTTTTTCTCTGATTTATCTTTTGACAGGATACACTGACCAGTATGTAGTAGCAGATCTAGATATATGAAGGTCTAGAAAGGAAGAAACAAAGAAAGTAAAAAAGAAACAAAGCTAAATTTGAGGATATATCCTATCTAATAAAGAGGGAATATGCTAATTGACCTCACACCATTACAAAGATGGCTGTGCCCATAGTCAATAAGGAAGGAATATGCTAATTGACTGCCTTACCCTCAAAGATGGTGGAGCCCACAGCCATAAGGTGGTGGCGCCCAGTCCCCTCAGCCCTGCTGGGGTAGCAGGTGTGCGGCAAGGCAGGTCTGACCACTCCATACACCTGCCTCTGGAGTCCTCCAGTCTCCTCAGTCTCCCAGCCACTCAGAGCCTGCTCAAGGCACAGGCAATCCTTGGATGGTGGCTGCCTAGCCACCCAGGGCCGTCTGAGGCTCAGGTAACCAGGGCTGACTGAGGCTTGCACTGCTGAAAGCAGCAGCAGCAGAGGTGTAATGGGGTGTCGCCTTCTGCTGATCGCCAGGTCACCTCCTGCCCCTGAGGGCTCCTGGACTGTGAGAGGAGGCAGGCCAGGCTGAGGGACTCCCCCAACAATGCATGAATTTTCAGCACCAGGCCTCTAGTATTATATCAAGCACAGACTATTGCAAATAATAAACTCCAAAAGTTTGATTCTGTACCTTCGAGGCAAAAACTTCAAATCCTGGTATTCAAGCTATTTTTTTTTTCTCGTAGATATTTTGGATTCTCTCTCCAGATTGTCAACCCCACTTAAGGGCATAGCGACATGTTATTTATGAATTACAACACTTCATATGCTGCTAGGCATGATAGTTGCTCAATTAGCACTATATTTGTTTAATTGAATGGAGTGTGAACTAATAGCACCAGAATTACAACACTTCATATGCTGTTAGGCATGATAGTTGCTCAATTAGAACTATATTTGTTTAATTGAATGGAGCTGTGAACTAACAGCACCAGGAAGTTGGATCACCCAGCTTGTTATGTTCCCTGGTTTACAAACTCCCTTCTAGCATCTGAAGCAGGAATGATTTCATGTGGCGATAGTGCGCCCACTTCCTGTTGCTTCTCCAGCATACTCTGCTCCCATCACATGAGTTCATTTCCTGTTATTTATGTCTATTCTGCATGGTGGCTAATTGTTGTTGCCTGCATTGCCTCCATTTTCAGTATTTTTTCCACTGTTTTTTGTTTTTGTTTGTTTTCATCCCTCATTCTTTTCCCTCTTTTCCCTTCCCTTAATTAATCCCCAAATTTTTGAAGTACACATCTCTTAAAGTCCGAACAGATATCATCTCCTCCTTGAATCGGTTTCAGTTATCTCCTGATATTATTATCTTATCCCCTTTGATTTTGTTTGTTTGTTTTGTTTTCAGGTACTATTCCTGTTCTCCATCTGTGTTCCTGACACTGAGCCAGTGAAAGCCCAGCCACCTATATTAATGGCTATTTCCTTCTATCCTCTATCCTCTACTCCATCCTGTTACCTTTATTTTAAAAAAGAATCACCATGGGATTGGACATCCGGCACAGTGTGCTACTTTCTTCCACGCTGGTGTCTGGGTTACTGGTGGCATGAGCACCAGGCTGCAGTCACATCTGCTGTCTGAGCCCGGTTCACTTTCTGAATGTATCCTTAGTTCTGGCTGCTCTGTCTCTCAGAGTCAGAAGCCTGGCTCTGTACCAGGGGTCTAGGTGCTCAATTCCCAGAACACACTGCATCCCTTTCTCTGTAACCTTAGGTACCTCCCCTGGTTTATGATGTGGATACACAGGTCATGCTGGGCACTGCCTCTCCACAGAGCCTGTTCCACTGCTTCCTTATTCCAAACCACAAGGCCAAGGGATCCATATGTATCAATGCCCTTAGGCTCAAACTTGAAATTATCAATTGAATATTAGTAATTTGGGTCCTGGCTGGGTGGCTTAGTTTTTTGGAGCATCATCCTGTACACAAAATGATGCAAGTTTGATTCCTGTTCAGGGCACATGCCTTGCTTGTGGGTTCACTATCCAATTGCAGCACATTCATTAGGCAGCCAATCAGTGTTTCTCTCTCACATCCATGTTTTTTTCTCTCTTTTCCTCTATCTAAAATTTAATGGAATCATATCCTCCAGTGATGATTTATTTTAGTAATTTGCATTCTTAGCCCCTATAAATTAATATTTCTTTCCCAATTTATTCTGCTTAGTCTTTCATGGAGCAGATTTCTTTTTTGCTTCCTTTTATGTCTCTGCATTCCTCTTGATTAAGTCACATTAGTTATTATCAAAGCAGTCCAATTGTACCTCTTTTAGGGTACTTTTCCATTAGTCTAGCTATGTCTAATAATAGTAAATATTAATATTAATAATGCTAGTTATATTTATTAACAATGTGCTATATCTTCTAATATTTTTGTTTTACATTTACTATTTAGAATCTACACTGTGAAATTCACATATTTTGATGTGCAGTTCTAGAATTTTTAAAAAATATTTTATTGATATTTTACAGAGAGGAAGGGAGAGAGATAGAG